CAGTCAATCGTACTTTCGCCTCTGAGACAGAAAGGTGGGCCCATGCCAGACTTGGAACTCACAAGGTCTGTGCTGATGCTCCAATGCAATGCTGGGGGTATTATGCTGCATGGTCGGAGGTGCCGTCCTTCAGACAGGACATTAAACCAAGATCCTGTCTACCTGTCCAGCTGAAAGTTAAAGATCCCGCGGCACTACTTGAAAAGAGAAGGGAGTTTCTCTCTGCTGGTGTCCTGGTCAACAATCCCCAAATAAAAAGGGTCAGCCGGGGGGAGGGACAGGTGACCGTAGGCACAGTTGAAGAGGAAGGTCTTCAGGCGCGTCCTGAAGATGGGGAAAGGTGGGGGGCAAGGCGGAGAGATAGAGGAAGAGTGTTCCAGAGTCTCGGGGCGTAGTGACTGAAAGCGCAGCCACCGATAGTGGAACGGAGGGCACAAGTTCAAGAAATTGTTTTATTGTTGTATTGCAAACAGTACAACTGAAAATGCAGCTTCAAGCACCATCCTATCCCCTCGCTGAGACACCCGTTATTCTCTCGCTGAGAGTCTTGCTTGCTTGACAAGCAGATTTTCGCCAGCTGTTTCTTATACTCTGTATGGCCTGTGTCAATAAATTGCTCAGGGAACTTTGCTCAGCGATCAGTGCCAGAGCCATCAACCGCACGGGTGTGTTCTGCACTGTACGTGGAGAATCTGTCATAGGCAGCGACACGACAACAGGCTGCAGCCTCAGCATTGACATCACAAGTGAATCAGTCACATGAATTTTGTCCACAAAAATATACAGTCAATTCACTTTACAGTGTATTCTGTGAAATGCTTTGAGATGTCTCGCAGATGTGATAAGGCACTGTATCAAATGCAAGGATTATTATTTTATTGTGACAGACAAGTTGCTGAGGTTCAGGTAGCTGATCACACCTCAGCCTTTTACAAAAGATACTTTCCTCTTCTTTCTCCTTGGGAGGTCCACATAATAATAATAATAAATTATTTTTGGAAGGGATTATTACCGTTTCTGGACAGCGGGTCGCACCAATCGCTTTCCGGGGTTAATAATCCCTGCCCCTGCATAATAATACTAATTTGGTCACTCAATCCACGACTGTTTGTGGGGCGCTGCTGTATGCAATTGGCTGCCGGGTTGCGCCCACAAAATATACAGTCAATTCACTTTACAGCACATTCTGTTAAGCGCTTTGAGACGTCTCAAAGACATGATAAAATGCTATGTCAAATGCAAGGATTATTATTACTATTAAATGTGAGGCAGGTCCTTCAATCAATTTAATCTCTTCCTTCCCATCCCTTCCTATTGCACCATCAAGGGGTTTCTTAAAGGGACCTTGTGTCCCATCTGGCTGGCTCACGGTTCCAGCTGTCAATTGCTCTGTGGGTCAAGAAACATTTTCTGGTGGCGGTCCTCAGTTTACCCCTCACACCCCAGAATCTGCGCTCTGTTATATTATCTTGCTCCAAGTTTACTTCCTCCGTTCCATTTAAGCAGCTTATAAAAGTCACTTCCGAGACATCTGTCATCCAACGTTGCAAAGCCCTTGCTCATGCAGTTTTTACTCATAGCTCATCCCTTGGAACACTGGGAATAACTCCATTGCTCTCTCTGCCCAATTCATACCCTTATGTCACAGCAGTAACTATAGCCTCCTCGCTCACATCAAACTATCAAACCCAACTCCCCACAGGAAGTTTCAGTGCTGTCCCAGCTGAGGGATTTCAGCAAGTCTATAGGATAGCCTATAGAATGATACAGGGCCTGAAATCTGCATTGTGAATTCAGATTGCAGAGTCCTGTAGCCTAGTGGTTAGAGCACAAGCCTTGCAAGTGAGAGGACCTGGGTTCGATTTCTTGGCAGTACGAAACCTTAGGCAAGTTTCTTTACTCCGCACACCTCGGTTTACCTAGCAGTCAGTAGGAACCCGTTTATAGGTCAATAATACTCCCTTAAAACAAATAATAATTTGATCACTTAATCTACGACTGTTTGTGGGATACTGCTGTGCACAAGTGGCTGCTGCGTTTCGCCCACAAGATGTGAAGCGCTTTGAGAAGTCTCAACAACGTGATAAGGCGCTAAATCAAATGCAAGGATTATTATTATGATAAACCACACAAGAGTATTGAGCAGTGAAGCCTGCAAATAGAGTGGAAATGCCACTCAATAACCAATGCTGGAAAATATGCCTGAAAACCCCACTAGCAAAATGATGGTCTGTTCATTCGATGGGCCCAGTGGAATACCATCTTTGATTCACTGTAGTTTAAGTCGTGGCCTGGTCTATTACTCTAGTACATTTATCAACGGCTTGTCAGTATCCCTCTGGTCATTTCCTATTCCTGATCTGGTTCTGTCTGTTCTGTTTCCAGCCACGTTACAGAGCTGGACACACAAAGCTCACTCACTGCATTGTGCACTACAGACTGCAGCAAATGGTACATTCAGCACAAGCAGCGTTAGATGTCAGATAACCTTGAGCAAAGCTGGAGAGGTATGAGAGAGTACAAGCACAACACACACAGAGAATTTCATGTTCCTAGAATTCAGCATAAATATCCAGTCCTCTCTCCCCCACCCCCTCGCTCCACTAACCAATCTGTTCACTAACCTCCCCCCCACTACCCCCTACTTGATTTTGACCTCATCTATACCCTCCCCAACAATTTGTCCTGGGGATTCAGCGAACACATCAACATTTGGACTTTGAGCTCATAGTCTGGGCAGGGCTTTGCAGGGGGGGAACGCTGCTTTGTCAGAGGTGCCGTCCTTTGGATGAGACATTAAACCAACGTCACACCCCTGTGGATGTCAAAGATCTCACGGCACTATTCGAAATGAGAAAGAAGGGAGTTTCGCCCGTGTCCTTGCTAACAATCCCCTAAATAAAAAATAATTGGTCATTCACTCTATGGCTGTTTGATGGACTTTGCTATGTACAAATTGGCTGCCGCGCTCGCCTACAAAATATGAGCACTATTGTTAACCTCTTTGACTGGGCCTTTGGTCACGCTCTACCCCACCCTCCCTGCCCTCCAGCTTGGTTCCAAATCCTTGACAGGCCAGTGCCTTGGGATTTCCTCTGGACGTGAAAGGCACCATACAAATGTAATTTGTTGTTGCTGTCGAAGCACTTCTAACACCTGATGAGAAAGGTGCTGTATCAAATGTAACTATCATTTATTACCTTCTAATCACGCAGAATACAGGCTATTCATACTGGAACCACTCAGTTTCCTTCTACCGGGGGAGGGCGAGAGAATTAGACAGTTACCTCTCCCGATCACTGTCCGCTGATCCCTGCTGAAAAGTACACACAGGACTGGGCTCAGGATTGCTATGCCTCAACCAGTACCTTTTGGTTGAAAACCCTGCTACCAGTACAGCCAGTGTTATGAAACACCTCTTGAATCACCAACATCCACCAGTTGCTGCAATGCCCTACACAGCAGAGGAAGGTCCCTCTGACAATGCAGCACTGCCCCAGCGCTGCACTGGAGCGTCATCTTAGGCCATGAGCTCAAAATCCCATCACTGATGTGTGTGCGCACTGTGTCCCCAAAATGGAGAACATCGCAGTTCTATACAATGTAGTGTTTTCCAATAATCTCGGCATAACTCAGAATATTAAGTGTGTGATTGGCTGCCGTGTTTTGCCCACAAATATACATTTTACAGTGTATCCTGTGAAGCGCTTTGAGACGTCTAGAAGACATGAAAAGAGCTATATCAAATCCAAAGATTATTATATTATTTTGTATCATTGTTTTTGCACGGGTGGATGGGCTGAGGATGTGCGGATCAGATGAGCAGAGAGGGAGTTGGGGTGAATGGTGATAAGGCTATCTGGAGATTAATGGATCCAGAGATGAGGATTGAAGAGATTAGGGTGTGGTGATCAGGGTGGATGATTGTCTCGATGAGGATTTAGGGAATGGGGAGGACCAGCCCTTGGGAGGGGGATAGGATTTTTTGGGGAGATGATGGAAGAGGGCCAGAGAAGACAGAGGAGATTAGGGCTGTGTGTGGGGAGAGTTGGCATTTAGGGAGATCAGGTCTGGGGAAAAAGAAGAATGGGGAAGATCAGTGCTGAGGGGCAGCAGGAGGAAAATTGAAAGATCAAAGTTTGGGGAAGAAGAGAAAGATTGGGAAGATGAGGACTGGATGGGGAAGATTGAGGAGGATCATGGAAGGGGAAAATGAAGATGGGGAAAATGAGGACGTGGAGGTGGGGGGGTGGAGATTGGGGGAAGATCAGAGCTGGGTGAGGAAGATGAGGATTGAGAGGAAAATGAAGAACTGGGGAGATCAGGGAAGGGGTGAAGGAAGATCGAGGAAGACGGGGACTGAGGGGGAGATCGAGGAAGGTGGGGACTGAGGGGAACATTGAGGAAGAGGAGGACTGAGGGGAAAGGAAGATTGAGGGAGATCAAGGAAGGGGTAAAGGGAGAGTGGGAAAGATGAGGACTGTGGGGAGGGGGAAGACTGGGGGGGAGATCAGGGAAGGGGTAAAGGAAGATGAGGACTGAGGGGAGGGGGGGATTGAGGAAGATGAGGACTGAGGGGAGAGGGGGGGATTGAGGAAGATGAGGACTGAGGGGAGAGGGGGGGATTGAGGAAGATGAGGACTGAGGGGAGGGGGGGGATTGAGGAAGATGAGGACTGAGGGGAGGGGGGGGGATTGAGGAAGATGAGGACTGAGGGGAGGGGGGGGATTGAGGAAGATGAGGAGGGGGGGGGGGATTGAGGAAGATGAGGACTGAGGGGAGAGGGGAGATTTAGGAAGATGAGGACTGAGGGGAGGGGGGGGGATTGAGGAAGATGAGGACTGAGGGGTAGGAGGAAGATCAGAGCTGTGTGAGGAAGATGAGGAGGGGGGGGGGGGGGGGAGGCCCTGCTCCTCTCTCTCTCTCTCCTCCCTCCCTCTCCCTCCCTCCCTCCGGGCCTAGCGTTCACCCCCAGCCCCGGGCCCCGGGGGGGGCCTCACCTTCCGCCACCACCTCCTCCACCGTCACCTGCTGCCGCCCGACGTTGAACACTCGGCCCACGAAGCCGCCGCCGGGGCCGGAGGAGGAGCTGCCGGAGCCTCCGCCGCCGCCGCCGCCGCCGCCTCCTCCGCCGCCGCCGCTTCCTCCCCCCGAGCCGGCGGCCTCCCGGCGCGAGTCGAAGAATTTCTTCATCGTTTTAATTCAAGTCCAAATAAAAAGGAGAGAGAGAGAGAGAGAGAGAGAAAAGAGAGAGAAAGAGAGGGAGAGAGAGAGAGAGAAATAACCGTCTCTCTTTTTCCTCAAGGAAGAGGAGGAGGAGGAGAAGAGAGAGAGAGAGAGAGAGAGAGAAGCCCCGGGGCATTCCCGCCAAGTGAGTGAGAGAGAGAGAGAGAGAGACCGTTTCTTTTTTTTTTACCTCAGCGACATCTTTCCTCTCCCTTTTCCCTCTCCTCTCTCTCTTCCCCCCCGCCCCCCACCCGCTCGCTCGCCGCCCCCGCACCCCTTCCACCGACCAAGTGCCTCCTTTGCGCGTTCGACCGTACGACCGAGCACCGCCCTTTCCCCCCCCCCGACCAACCAACCGCCTCCAGTTTAAACTTGGCCAGCGCGCGGCTGCGTTCTAAATCCCTCCCCCCCCCTCCTCCTCCTCCTCCCATTGCCCCATGGGAGTTGTAGTCTCTCTCCCCCCCCCACACCACCCTTTCCGCTTCCTGTCTACGGGACAGAGCTGGGGGGGGTGGAGACTCCGAGTCCCGGCGTGCATCGCGCTCCCCTCACTCAGTACCCTCTCCCGCCCCCCCCCTCCTTCCTCCCTCGCGCTCTCTCCCCGTTGCCCGACGGGAGTTGTAGTTCCTCCCTTTTCCGGCTCTGACTGGAAGCCGCGCGAAAGGACTGCAAATCCCGGCGCGCACCGCGTCGCCGCCAATCGAGAGAGAGAGAGAGAGAGAGAGAGCTTCGCGCTCTCGCTGTCGTCCTCGTCGTCGTCGTCGTCGTGTGTGTTTGACACCAAAATGGGCTTCAAAACGGGTTGGGTTTTTTTTTTCCAACGGTGTAGTGAGTGGATGAAGGAGACTTTTTTTTTTACCGCAGTGTAGTCAGCCGAGGAGAGTGTTAAGTAAGTCGCTGAGAGGCGCGGGAGTTTGGAGTTGAAGTGGGGGGGAGGAGGAGGGGGTGAAGGGGGGGAGGGAGGGGGAGATGTCTGGGTGTCATGTCAGCCTGGGCTCAAGGTTGCGGGGTTCAAGCCCCCCCACTCCACCCCACCACGTCAAAGCTGATGCTCCAGTGCAGTGCTGAGGCCTTCGACCCCCTCCCCCTCTCCTCCCTCCACCCCTCCTGATCCCAACACCCCCCCCACACACACCCCCTCTCCTCCCTCCACCCCTCCTGATCCCAACACCCCCCCCCCACACCCCCTCTCCTCCCTCCACCCCTCCTGATCCCAACACCCCCCACCCCCACACCCCCTCTCCTCCCTCCACCCCTCCTGATCCCAACACCCCCCACACCACCCCTCTCCTCCCTCCACCCCTCCTGATCCCAACACCCCCCACCCCCCTCCCTCCACCCCTCCTGATCCCAACACCCCCCCACACCCCCTCCCCTCCCTCCACCCCTCCTGATCCCAACACCCCCCCCTCCCTCCACCCCTCCTGATCCCACTCCCCCCCACACAGCCCCTCCCTCCACCCCTCCTGATCCCAACACCCCCCCACCTCCCCTCCCTCCACCCCTCCTGATACCAACACCCCCCCCCACACCCCCTCCCCTCCGTCCACCCCTCCTGATCCCAACACCCCCCCCACACCCCTCCCCTCCCTCCACACCTCCTGATCCCAACACCACACCCCCACACCCCCTCCCCTCCCTCCACTCCTCCTGATCCAACCCCCCCCCCCACACACACCCCCTCCCCTCCCTCCACCCTCCTGATCCCAACACCCCCCCCCACACCCCCTCCCCTCCCTCCACCCCTCCTGATCCCAACACCTCCCCCACACCCCCTTCCCTCCCTCCACACCTCCTGATCCCAACACCACCCCCACACCCCCACACCCCCTCCCCTCCCTCCACTCCTCCTGATCCAACCCCCCCCCCACACACCCCCTCCCCTCCCTCCACCCCTCCTGATCCAAACACCCCCCCACACCCCCTCCCCTCCCTCCACCCCTCCTGATCCCAACACCCCCCACACACCCCCACACCCCCTCCCCTCCCTCCACCCCTCCTGATCCCAACACCCCCCACACCCCCACACCCCCTCTCCTCCCTCCACCCCTCCTGATCCCAACACCCCCCCCCACCCCCTCCCCTCCCTCCACCCCTCCTGATCCCAACACCCCCCCCCACACCCCCTCCCCTCCCTCCACCCCTCCTGATCCCAACACCCCCCCCACTCCCCCTCCCCCCCCCCAGTTTGCGGACTAAATCATCGACCTTGGGACGTCTTCCCGTCGCGTCTTCGCAGGCGCCCGGCTCCAACCGCCCCGACCTGCTCGCTCCCCAGCCCGCGGCCGATTACCACCCATCGACCGGCTCCAGCCCCCCTTGCCCCCCGTGCCCTCCGTCCCACCGTCGGCAGCCGTGCTTTCAGCCCCGAAAATCTGGAACGCTACCCCCCTCCCCTCCAAGCCCTCCGCCTTGCCCCATTCCTTCCCCAGGCCCGACCTGAAGATCTTGCTCTTCGACTGTGTCGACGGTCACCTCCTCCTCGATGGCTCAGCGTCGAGCGCTGCCACTGTCGAGCGGTCTGGGACGGTGCCCTCCGTGATGGGTGGCACATGGACGCTAGTTGTTGTGCCCTTCGGATGAGACCTTCGTCTCCCCCGGCCGTGCTCGTTCAAGTGGACGTTAAAGGAGCCCTCGGCGCCGTTCGAAAAGAGAAAGCGTTGTGGCCAGATAAAAATCGGTCACTCACTCCTCGGCTATTTGTCCATTTATGCGCAGTTTAGCTGCCGCGTTCACCTTCAACCGTATAATCCAGACATTTGGTATGGCGCCTTATCACGTCTTTGAGACTTCTCTGAGCGTTGCACCGAATATTACTGTAAAGTGAATGGACTGTGTATTTTGTGGGCAAAACGCGGCATCCAATTACGTACAGCAGTGTCTCATAAACAGTCGCGGATTGACATTACACTGTACCGAAAAACCAGAAGCACTTTTGGGGCGATAAGGCACTATATCAAACATGGAGATTGTTTATTTGCTGATTTTTAAGAAGAGATTGGCAAATTGGTGTTAACATTGGGTCTGAAACACGAGCCTTGGCTGACTGGCTTCCACTTTGAGATCATTCAGTTTGTAATGAGGGTTGGTTGTGGTATTCCAGTTTTCCCCCCTGTGGACAGAGTCCAGCTGGTGTGTATGAAGTGAGCTCAGGGTTTACTTATGGATCAGAGAGGCAAGATCAAACGCCACATCCTGTTTATTAAGTGGGATTTGAGTAGACACAACAACCCTTCTTGCAAGTCTTGCAAGACTCCCATCCTGTTCAGGTTAGAAACTTTTTTTAAAAAACGCAGTCCTCTGGCTTAGTCCTTACTCCACATGCCTGTTTACCTAGCAGTAAGTAGGAACCCAGTTGTTTGGATAACTTTCCCGGGGTAATAATCCCTTTTTTTTAAAAAAAAATGGGTCACTCAATCCATGACTGTTTGTAGGACATTGCTGTGTGCAATTGGCTGCCCCGTTTCACCCACAAAATGGGACCTCTATTGTGATAGTGACCAAGACCTTAAACATATGACTTGTCCTTTTCAGGTCTAGCTTCTGGGGTCTGAATATCCTGCCTTGAAAACACTTGCTTACAAGGGAAAAGCAGGGCGATGCACAAGTTTGGATAACACTTGCGATAGGGAGAGTGACTTCCGTCCTTGACCTGTTAAACTTTTTCCTGAAGTCAGGTAGAGTTCCCCAAAGGGCTTTAACTGTGTAATTCTGTTTAGTGGGAGTGTATTTTTTCTGCATCAAAAATACAATGTGTGTTCTTTAGTATCACTGGGCTGGTGGATGTCTCATAGAATTATAGAAGCTTACAGCACAGGAGGCCCCCATTCGGCCCGTCGTGCCTGTGCCAACTCTTTGGAAGAGCTACCCAGTCATCCCACTCCCCCTCTCTTTCCCCATATCCTTGCAAACATCGGCAGGACCTGGAAGGGCAGACCAGTCACTGAGGGTAGGGAATCATCCCACTCAGCTCCTGTTAACCCTGCAAGCTAAAGCCCTAATGGGTAGGGTGGTCCTAGCTGGACAAGCAGTGGGAAAGCTGGCCAGACGGTGATATCAACGGCAAGCTATGCGGTTTTAGCTGGTCAGACTCCAGCAATTACCCCATCGCGCACTCTGTGTTTCCCCCAAGCCTAATACTTTCCGTAATTAGGTAAGCAGGATGTGTCCCTCGAGGGGGGGGGGGAGAGAGAAAATGGGAGTGCATTCCATTCCAACAATCTATCTCTGGGATTTCCACGTGAGGGCGGGATGTGTGGAACTCAGTTTGGTTTGGAGACGCTTAAGCTCGGTGACGTCCTGGAGACTGTTCAGCTGGGTGATGATTTTCCGCAGGTGTCAGACACACGGCTGGCCAAAAAAAACAGTTGACAGCAATTCAGGCGCACGTTGGATTTTACCGGGTTTTGACTTGAGGATCTGGCCGGTGCGGTCCCCCCACTCCGCCAGCAGGGGGCCGTCAACGCCCACATACTTTGTGCTGCGAACTCTTTGAATCAAACCCAACCTTCGCTCCCTGAGGATATATTAATCTTTAATATCCCTTTGGAAGGAAAGCTCGAGTGTTTTAATGAAAGGCAGAGTTCTAACCGTACTAGGGCAGAGCAGGAGGAGCTCTACTCCTGACCGATAAGCTTGGATAACGATAATCCTTGCATTTGGTATCGCCTTTGCGTTTTCATGTAGCGTCTTATCACGTCGTCGTAACATCAAGAAGCACGTAACGTGAATTTACGGTAAAGTGGTGTGATCGTGTAATCGAAGGCAGAAATGGCTGCCAATTTGCACACAGCAATGTCTCGCAAGCAGTCTTGAAGTCGATGCTTAATTTTTTATTCAAGTTTCCTTACTCCACACGTTTACCTACCAGTAAGTAGGTACCCGGTTGTTAGTCAATTGGCGAATTGCTTTTCGGGGGATAATAATCCCTTCAAAATAAAAGTAATAAGAATTTGGTCACTGCATTCGCAAGCGGACGAAGGTCGCTTTGCTCGTTTAATAGTCAACGTTTGTGA